GGAAGACAGGAAGGCTCACCTGAGCTGGAGGGTTTATGGTCAGAAAAATAACGTTCATCGAGATATTTTGCGACGTCACTTTCTTCACCCGCTTCACGGCAAGTAAAGCCTCGCCGTGGCGCGATCCATAATTTCCAAAAGCTCATACGCAGGGCAGGAGGATTGGGAAGGCTCAGCCTCAGCTTCTTTGCCCTCCTCAGACATTTCCTGCTTTTGCTGGGCTGATCCCAGCAGAGCACTGGCCCCTGAATCAGACAATGTTAATGAAATAACATCATCCTCCAGCGGCTCACTCTCGTGCACAGCCGACGATCGCGAAAGGGAAACCCCCCTTCAAACTCATCGGCCAGATCCACCTGCGATCCCCACGAGCTCATTCCCTTCTGTGCCTCAGCAGCGGCGGGTCGTGAATCGCGGGAAGCAGACGGCTGCCCCTCTTTCCTCGAAAAAAACAGACAAACGAGAGCGGAGCTTTTTCCCTTGGAAAAAACGCTCGCAGTGCACGCCGATTGCCCCCTCGGAGGCATCGCGTGCGTGCTCTTCGCCCAAACAAATAACGCATAGATCGTGTGTGTCATCAGATGTTAAACAACGTCAACACGGATGCACACATCCGTAAATGCTTTGCTAGTGCTCGCCATAATGAGATGAATAGAGATCGCTCTTACCACAGAAATGCACGCTTCAAACAAAACAGTCAATGAAGACGAAGAAGAGAATGATGTGTGCTCCCGGCGCCTATTTATTCTATGGTCGCACCGGTAGTTACGTCATGGCTGTCGCCGGCCAACGAGTTGGTGTTTTTTCAATGTATGCTTCAGACACGGGTCACAACGAGGCGTCCCCATAGCGACCCCTAGAGGACGCAGTTCGAAGTTCCCATGAAAGGGAACTCTGCTTCTAACCACAGGTTGAGAGCTGTAGCTCCAACCACACAAATTTACGATGCTGTTTACGAATGTTTGCTGGAACTATGATTACGTAAAACAGCAAATTGTACAACTATGTTGGTAACGTCCGAATTTGTGTCCATTGTTAGCTAATACTAACAAGAAACTCTGCTTATAACCACAGGTCGAGACGTAGTTCCAACCACAAAGCTTTGTGATGCTGTTTGCGAATTTTCTTTGGAACTATGGTTTCTGAAACAGCAAATTGTAGAACTATGTTGGTAACAACCAAATTTGCGATTATAGTTAGCTAGTACTAACAAGAAACTGTGCTTCTAATAACAGGACAAGAGCTGTAGTTCCAACCACACAACTTTACGATGCTGTTTACGAATGTTCTGTTTACAGTTTATGAAAACTGTTTACGATGCTGTTTACGACTATGGCTTCTGAAACAGCAAATTATAGAAATATGTTGGAAACTACTGAATTTGCGATTGTATACAAATAGAGCTGTAGCTCCAACAACACAGCTTTGCGACACTTTTTGCGAGTATTCATTGGAACTATAGTTTTTGTAACACATAATAATTTAGTATGGTAGTAATGATGGAAGTTGTGACCATAGTTAGATAATACTAACAAGAAAATATGCTTCTAACCAGAGGTCAAACTAGTTCCAACCACACAGCTTTGCGATGCTGTTTGCGACTGTTTGTTAGAACTATGATTTTGGGAAATAGCAAATCATGGAACTATATGGATAACAACCAAACTTTTGACCATAGTTGGCTAACAGTGCTTTTGGGAAACTCACCCCAGGCTGAATTATTGGCAGATGTTTGGTCAGTTGAAGACTGTTGTCAGTTTACCGGCTGGTAATCTTGAAAGCTTGTATGAAATCATACAAAATTTTAAACCTTGTAAACGAATAATAAGCATTTTTTTGTTTGTTTTTGAATACATTTTACAAAATGTGTTGAACATTTTCCAACCATTTCTAGATATCACATTGCCATTGACCAATTAAAAAAGAAAAAAATATATTATTGACCTCTAGTTAATATATCAAGACTTAAATTTGCACATCCGCACTCTCTGATTATAATGGATTGAGGTGATTGTCTCTCATTGGCTCAGTTTGGCATGTGTTGTGATATACTGCAATCGCTAGCCAGTCTATCTTGTGCATGGCAGATAAATTGTCTGGTTTATAAGCTCAGTGTTTCTGGCTGACCTTCTGCTGAATGTCAGTTTGCATCTGGGTTTATTTATCTGATTGTCCACCAGAACTGGCCAGTCGCCCAGTAAAAGGTGCTGATTTAGAGATGCTATTGCCTCTCTCCTGTCTCTGTTGTCCCTCTTAGCGCCAGACAGTACCTCAGGTGTTATTTCCAAGACAATCGAGATCTGTTTGCAGAAAGAGGGCAACAGTTTCGGCTTTGTTATGCGAGGTGAGTTTGGGTTTGTTGCCACTCATTTTATTTGATTCGTTTTTGCAATATTCCTAAAATCAAATGGTTGCAGATTTAACTACAGACTACAGCATTTTAAATATGTGTTATAATACAGGTGGATCCCATGAGGACTGGCACAGATCTCGTCCTTTGGTGGTCACACACGTCCGACCTGGTGGACCTGCTGACAGGTAATGCATAACTCAAAATGAAGCATTTTAAATTTCTGCAAAAACCTCTTTTCTTTTTTGTCACTCATGCCATTTTGTACAATGACTTGTTGTCTGTGATTTATTTAATCATCAAAAGTGTCCACTAATAGAGGAGTCAACAAGATAAATTGAGTAGTATTTGGCAGGTCATGTGATCTCAAAATGGCCACCATCACGAGGGGCTACCCCTCTGATGTAGAATAAATGAGCTTTTAAAACTTATTTGCCAATTAACTTGCACTGGATATGTTAGCTTAGTATGCTAATTGATTAGCATGCCAACTGCAGGTAATGGAGGACATAATGTTAGCTTAGCTGGCTAATTGATTAGCATGCTTACCGAAAACATAACCTCATTTTGTTGGTGTTAAACTCTGCTTTTAACAAACAACATGTATAAGGAACACAGTTCTTGTTGCAGTCATCTTCCATGTTTGGAGCATCAAGAACACACTATTTGCATTTTATCCAAATCCAGAAAGTAGGCCAGAGATTTCCCTCTCAGCTTAGATGGCTAGCTATTATTCTTGGTTTTAGGATTCTCCGTGCCTCTCTTACCAACCACTTTTCCCTACTTATATCAGCATCACACAACCTGCCAAAAGAGAAAAATAAATAAACATGTGTCTGGAGAGAGAACATCTTCAATAAAACCCCTTTGATGTTAGAGACAAAGGCTGCCTTCATTGATGGGTGGAAATTGTATACATTGTCTTTCCTGAAGGCCCCTAGACGTTTCATGAAGAAAATATAGTGCTTTAATGTTGCCTTAAAAAATACCAAAAATTTATCCTGTATGATGGATGAAGTGAGATTGTTGTTTAATGTAGTGGACTAAATGCACAAACATATTTTGAAAGCTTAAATATATTAATTCAAAATTATTTACAAAGTTACTCTATAAAAAGGTAACATTTTACAAAAAAAGTTGAATTTGTTAAAATTAGTTAACTGCTTAGTTAACATGAACTAACAATGTACTATCAAAATACTTTTACTAAAATACATTTATTAATAATAATGTTTACATTTTACATTTGCTAAAACGTTTAAGTTAAAAAGTTGTAATTTTAACATACGTTAGTGCAATGTAAACTAGCTTTAACATTTTTACTTACATTAACAAAGGGTAATACATACTGTAAAAATGTATTGCTCATTGTTAGTTCATGTTTGTTAAAGGATTATCTAATGCTAACAAATGAGACCTTATTGTAAAATGTTACTGAAATGGTAGTGTAAATTCTATTGAAAATATATCTGTAATTTTGTCATAAAAAATGTGGTTTTCCAATTTTTACTAGATTTAGTCACATTTATATAGAAAATTTTGAAAAAATAAAAGGTCGTTAAGATTTTTAAAAATGTTTTTGAAAGAAGTTTAAATTTTTGAAATGTAAAGAAATTTAAATATTTAAAAAAAGTAATTTATTCCTGTGATGGAAAAGCTGAATTTTAGGAACCGTTATTAAAGAAACATTTCTTATTATCACAGTAGAAAACAGCTGTTCTGTTTAATATTTTTGTGGAAACTAAAATAATTTTCAGGATTCTTTAATGAATAGAAAATTCTGTCTTTATAGTCACTTTTGATCAATTTAATGAAGCATTTCTGAATAAAAGTATTAATTTAATAAATCTTACTGACCCCAAACTATTGAACGATATTGTACGTTATACATTTAATTGATAATAAAATGGGACTGTTCCGCATGTGTTCTTGTGCAGGGAAGGGACCCTAAAAGCAGGCGATCGGATCTTAAGTGTGGATGGTGTGCTTTTAAACAGTGCCACTCTAAGCGATGCTCTTACAGTACTGACTCAGTGTGGCCAGGAGGCCCTGTTCCAGATCGAGTATGATGTCTCCATCATGGGTGAGTTACTTCAGTTGCACTTGTTTCATGTGTTGACAGAATTAAAATTCCACATGTTCCAGTGGATTAACATGCCACTTGTTTTGTATGTTGCACTTTGAAAGGAAATGATGAATTAACCCTCATAATGCCTTCTAAACCTGTATACAGTTTTCACATTCTAGGTCTGTTGATATCTGAAGAATCGTTATTTTATAAAACAGTCCTTAATGTTTTTTTTTAACCATACTGCATCTGATCAATGACTTCAAATTAATGAGTGAAAGTGAAAAAAAATCAGTTTTGACTGTTACATCTTATTAACATATTATTACCATGCTATTACTGCATTTACCCTTTTTTATTAAATACAAAATGAGAAATTATTTAACTACACATGAACCACACACACACACACACACACACACACACACACACACAAAAAAGAAAAATATGCAAAATGCTTATGTTTTCAGTGTTGAGAAATTTTATTTAAATATATCATTGTACGGTATGTATTTCATAAGAACATATGCTCTGAGAATTACCCGTATTAATTCTATTGGAATGAATGGAATTAAATTCCTTTGAATTTATAACTCATAATTGATTGAAAACAGCCCAAATTTTATATATATATATATATATATATAAGCACATAAATATTACTCTGAAAAGTTTTCAGACAAAATAAATTTACTTGACTTTACTTGGAAAAAAAAAACATGATCAAGTTTTCATGCTGCAATAGTTCGTCTAAAGCCTTTACATTCATGTTTATCAGCAAGGCTAAATATATTTTATAAAGTTTTTTGACATTGAGTAACTCCATAGATAATTTTACAAAAAGTATTTTTGACACTAAAGGTATTCCATACATACCCGGCTAATACCCAAGTAAAATAGTCTAAAAATTCTGAAAATAAATAAGTAAATAAAATAAGTAAGTAAGTGTATTTTGAGGGTCTTTTACAAAGCATTTACAAAGTTTTGGTTTCCTTAATGAAAACTTTTTTTTTTTTATGTATCTTTTCTGGCTCAAAATGTACCCAAATGTATAATATGGGGTAATCAAATTACTTAAGGATTTATAGAGTGCTTGTCCATTTGTAGACATTCTCCAGAAACACAGCACTTCTCTCCAGAGATCTCTGCTCTGTTTAGCCATCTACACTGTTTCGTCTGGATGAACAGCAGGTTGTTGACCTTCAAGAGAGGAGAAACAACTCTCACGCATCTCAAGCATTTTACCGATGCTGTTAAGCTAATTTATGCTAGCCACAATTAGCATAACGCCCACTGTTGTTCTCCTTGTAGAGTTAACGAGGTCGTATCCTAGAAAATAGAGGTTTAAAATAAACTTTTGATGCTCACAACTTCCAAAAAGACTCTTTATTGAATGTAAGCTGCAGAAAGGATCCATTTAGAAATCACAGCGTAACAATGCTATGCTTGTCTGTCCTTATCACCTGCCCTCAGACTCGATGACAAACGCTTCAGGTCCTCTGCTGGTGGAGATTGCCAAGGCGCCCGGAGCCAGTCTGGGAATCACTCTGACCACTGCCATGCACAGGAACAAACAGGCCATCGTCATCGACAAGATCAAGCCCGCCAGTGTGGTGGACAGGTATACACTCAATGAGCCTCTTTCATCAAACACCAGCACAGTAAACAGTGAAATTGTGAAACAACAATTTTCTTACACAAACTGCTTGGAAAAACAACCAAAATTGCTTATTTCATGAAAAACAACACAAATCATCGAGCAGTTTCATAGGATTTCTGCAAAAAACTATGTTTTGTCACTGATGCCATTTTGTAAAATGACTTTGTCATCTACAATAATGGAAATGTATGTTAAACTGTTTATTGTGTACAAAAATAATTTACTTAATTTAGTTTCTTAATTTTTTTGTAAAACAAAACCTATGTAAATGGTTTTACTACTTACCTAAATTAAATTTTAAATTTAAATTTTAGTAAAACCATGGTTTGCGAAACCATTTTCCCAAAAAAAATGTCAAACCCTATCTAAATTGTTCACAAAGCTAATATTATGTACATTTTTTTTATTTAGTATTTTATTTTCATGTGAATTTATCTTTATCTATTTTTTTATGTAAATTGTTTGTTACACCATTCTTCTGCAAATTATATTCTTTTTTTCCTAAATTATCCATGGCCATTTTTACAGAAATGTTTGTAAATCTTCCTGCACAAGTTATTCATAAAAACAATTATTACATAAAGGATTTTATATTTGTAAAACGATTTTTGCACAACTGATTTGATTTTTATAGAAGTGCATCGTAAACAAACTATTTTTGAATAAATGCATTGCTTTTAATGTACAGAAAATTGTTTGTAAAAGCATTCTTGCACAAATTATTTTTTTGCACAAATTGTTCACAAAACCATTTTTTATAAAGAATTTGATTTTCCTATTACATAAACTGTTTGAAATAATTTTTTTTTACCCAAACAACTTTTTTACTTTTCACATACTGTAAATTTGTTTGTAAAATCCTTCTTCCGGAAATTATGTTCTGTTAAAAAATATTTTTCACAAAACCATGTGAAGGATGTTATTTTAAAGGGGAAAAAAACAAAACATTGTTTTACAAATTACTTGATTCCATCTTTCGATTCTTACGTAACGATTTTACGACCCGTTTCCACAGAGATTCTTCATAGTCATTAACTGCACAAAGTCACATTTACATTGATCAACTGTTGAATACAGTTGAACTTAAATCCCTCAGAAATATGTAATTTTAATCAATGTAATTTTAATCTGTTATAGTTAAGATGTGTGTGTTTTTTTTTTTTGTGAATATGCATTTTATATATTCTTGTTTCTATTACATTTTAAATACCACATGAACCATAATTCGCCATATAACTTTGTTTTTCCATACATTTCACAAATTTCTGAGGGACATAGAGCATTCAAATTCATTATTAGGGTAATTTGGGTGAGTTTTGATGTTATTGATGTCCCACATTTATGACAGTTCTAGCAGTTCTCTATTTGCGTCTCAGGTCTGGAGCGTTACACGTGGGTGATCATATCCTGTCTATAGACGGCACCAGCACAGAGCACTGCTCCGTCCTGGAGGCCACGCAGCTGCTGGCCAGCACTACTGCTTTAAGTAAGAAATATATTATATACATATTAAATACTATTTAATTAAATGTTATTAAAAAATATATATATTTATTTAAAAAATACTATGAACCAGTGTTAATTTCGTTGACGAATAATTTTCGTCATAATTTTGGTCAACAACGTAATCAGTGGAAGTGTAATGTGTCAGAACTCATAAGAATTACAGTGACAACCAGTGTTAATTTCGTCGACGAATAATTTTCGTCAACGACATTTTTTTCATCGATGAAAACGAGAACTGGCGGGACATAAGCTAACATACACTTGCTGCACATCGCATAAAACGTTCAAAAATGTCAATATGTGAGAGTAAGAGAAGAGCAACAACGCCGTTTGCACTGCACTCTTCCGTTACTTTATCTTTTTATTTGGTGCGTCAATCTGTTAAGTTACTTAGTATAGGAAATTATGGAAGGCTTTGAGCCGAAAAGTTTGTGTCTTTTTCCATTAGTAATACGTAGAAATGCACACAAATTGATGTTGAATTGTCCGTTTTGATGAGTATTCACGTAAACACAGTTGATTATGTCTTAAGTGAACGTAAACAGTAGGGAGAACATGTATCAGTGCATTGCATCCATTGCATCTGTGCATTCGGTTTTAAAGGGATAGGAGCCTAATTTAGTTGACTGAATCACTTTCAGAGCCCTAAAGATTAATCTAAATTTATTTATATAAATAAATATGTCTGCATGAAAGAATCAAGAATATGGTTAACACGTTGTTATAAAGAATGCATAATTAGTATATATAACCATTGGTATTTCATTCTGTAAATAAATGTATAAAGGATCTTTGATTGTTAACGTCAGTTTATGTTGCGGCCTTACCCAAGACAGGGTCGTAACAGAAAAGAAGACCATGTTTTTGTTCTTTATGAGAAGTGGTTTTATTTAATTTTAACATAAAGGCATGTTGTGTGTCACTGCAGTTAAATCATGATAAAACCTTAAAATCATGGAAATGGAAATTTTAGAGAAATGCTTAATAAATGGATTACACTGTAACTAAAACCACTGGATTTTAGCCAACTAAATTTACTGTAGATTTATTCGACTAAAATCTTATGATATTTAGTCGACTAAAACTAGACGAAAACTAAAAACAATTCAGATGACTACATAAAACTAAATAGCATTTTAGTCAAAAGTCTATTACTAAAACTAAGTCAAAAGATGAACATCTAAGAAACTTTCATCCAAATCATGGCCAGTTGTAAAATATGTCATGTGGTACAACTGCCTAATAAACCATAATTATATTTATCAATTAATAATTAATGATATTTTAAAATAATGATTAAGATCTTTATATGTTTTCAAGGTGTAAAAAAAAAAAAAAAACGTTTTACTGTTTACTTGTTGGTTACATGACAGTATTTTAAGAGTCAATTCATTTTTTGAGAATTGTTTTTTATATAAAAATATAGTAGAAAATATTACATAATGTTAGAAGATAATGATTAAGATCACATGTATTCATGGTGTAAATAATTGTATCACATTTTTACTTGATGGTTACACCATATTATATTTTAAGAGTCATTTCAATTCATTGTTGAACATTTGTTGATCTTGGTACATGCACTTAAATTTTTTTTATTTAATTATTATTACTTTTTTATGAATCTTAAAAACCAGTATTATTTCACTGCAAATAAGTAAGTAAATAAATGAATGAATAAATAAAATAATAATAATAATAATAATGATAATAAATTATAATCAATAGGGCTGCCCCCTAATAGTCGACTAATCGTTAGTCGACCAGAAGAGGCTTGGTCGACCAAAATTGTATTAGTCGCAGAATTTTTTTTTTTAAATAATAATCCACAGTCGAAATCATGCAGTAAGTGACGGACAAATCATTAATGGTTAGTCTCTTGGTAATAGAGTACATCAGGCAGGGCATCCAAAAGCTCTCCTATCTTTCATCAACCTCAAATATGGCTTATCATCTGAAATATGTAAGTATTACCAACTTTACATTACCGCTCAATCTAATGTTAACCTAGAGAAATGTGAGCTATTCTGTGTCTGTGCGGAGTGTGGAAGCTGAACAGTAGCGTGGAGGCGCCGGTGCGCTCACTTGCTCTTAAAATATGCTGTCATTTTTGGTCATACAGATAAGAGTAATACATCTTTCAAATCTGTAAAGACTCTACGTTTATTTGTGTGCACAATAACAACAAAACGCGATTTTGTAAAATAATGAAAGCAAACAGTATGCGCTTTCTACCATCTCGGTCTCTGCGAACTTGAGCACGGAACTCGGTGTATGTATGAAATATATCTATAGAGAGTGAAATGTCTACTTTCAAATGAACCAATTCAAATGGAAAACACATATTCTCAGATTATGTAATCCATATGAAACAAGGCGGGCGTTATGATGCAGACCCATCTGAAAACGAAACCCCGTCATATTCTGATGAAGTTGAACTCGAAGAAAATTAAGTGAACCCCTGGCCATATTTATGCTCTATTATGCAGTGTAAGCTGTGTTTGCCTAGGGAGACCAAACTAGCAGCTTATAAAATATCGACATCAACCCTTCGCAAGCATGCATAGGTAAGGTAAATACTTGCATCGTGGCATTGGTGGTTAAAATGACAGTGACAGTTTAGCAGTTTAGCTTTGACAGTTTAGCAAAAGGTTTTGCACAAATTAGCCAAAAAGACAGTGGTGCAGGGTGTGCGATATATATCGTCTGCGAGAATATCGTAATTGTTGTTTTAACGATGTGCGATTTGACATTATCAGTATTTTGCCAAAAACAAAACAAAACAATCCTACTGAGTGCCGTGAAGTCTAGACTAGAGCGCACGCATTTAGAGTGCGTTCTTTCACTGCGTGATTCAGTCTGCTAAAATGCATTAAGAATTATCACAAAATTGGAGATATAGGGGAAGAAAATTTATATATTTATATCATTTCATATAGTAAATCAATATCACACGAAGAGTGCCGTTTTTTCCTCCAAAAATCAGCATGATTACATATAGATTTTTTTTACAACAGTTTAATAAACACGGTTCAATCGCAATGACTAACTTATTAACAGTGACTTGGTGCCACCTGCTGGTGGTTTTAATTTCACATTTAAACTATCTTTTGATTTTATTTTTTTTTTATAATTTCAAATGAGTATTCAGCATTTTATGTCTTATATATCAAAACATTATTTCTGCATTTGTATCTGCAGGTTAAATGCATTCATGTCCTGCATTAAACAGTGTGTAAATACATCTAAATGCCACTTCCGATGAAGCTTCTGTGTTTCCTCTGCATTGAAAAGATGAATTTTGTTGATACTGATTTAATTTGCCTGGTAACAGCCCAAATGTCTTATTATTCTAAATAACTGATTCCTTTAATTAAAAACAGCTAGTTTGAGATTTATAGGCCTATACCCAGTGGTGTCAAACTCAGTTTCTGGAGGGCCGCAGCCCTGCAGAGGTTTGTTCCAACCCTGTTCCAACACTCATACCATGTAGTTTTCAAAAAGGACCTGATTATCTGGATCAGGTGTTTAGAATTGGAGCTAAACTCTGCAGGGATGTGGCCCTCCAGGAGCTTACTTGTACTTAAGTAAAATTTCATTAATGTAATGGTACTTTTACTTGAGTAGAATATTTTCATACTATTTCCACCTCTGGCTGTAGCAAGCTTTATGCATGTACTTGAGCACTTATTAGGCTATGTAGGCAATTAAAGGCTCAGTACAAAGATTTAAACGGTTTATTAATAAATGACGATTAGTCTACTAATGCTTAAAATGAGTGACTACTAGTCGACCAGACAAATCCTTAGTTGAGGGCAGCCCTAATAATCGATAAGTGAGTTTATTCTTAAAACAAGAGCATCTATATATAAGGGTGGGTAAGAAAATTAAACCTGTTTTCCCTTTGAATTAAGATTAATGAGAGTCCAAACAGCTGATTAAAACATCACAGTAATCCACAAGTAATCCACTCCAGTCCATCAATTAATGGAGTTTTTATGAAGTGAAATGCTGTGTGTTTGTAAAACATCCATCCAAGACTATAATTTCTGGCCAAAATATGAGGTATAATCCATAATAACGCTTCATCCAGTGATTAAGTCCATCCCCAGTTGTCCTCTCACATCAAAATTCACCCAAAAATTTTTTTTAGAGCTGTTTTGAACTGTTTTCGCTTGTAAACCATGCTTGATCTGTGCATATTTCACTCCTAATTCAGTCAAAATGACTTTTCGTCTTGAGGAAGCAATATTATGGATTATGAAGTAGAAATTGAAGTTAAAACGACGGAATGATGTTTTTTTCTTACTAACGTGCATCTTTTCACTTTAGAAGATGATAATTGATGGACTGGAGTGAATTACTTGTAGATTATTGTGATGTTTTTATCAGCTGTTTGGACTCTCATTCTGACGGCACCCATTCACTGCAGAGCATCCATTGTTGAGCAAGTGGTGTAATGCTATATTCCTCCAAAATCTGTTCTGACGCAGAATTAAACTCATCTGCATCTTAAAATGGTCTGAGGGTGAGTACATTTTCAGCAAATTTTCATTTTTGGGATTTTATATTGCACATCCCACTTTGGATAGAACACAGAATCTAACCAATAGCATATTATCATTAGCTATGTTTCCATCATCCTGTTTTTATGCACATTTTGAAGTATCGCATCAGAAACGAGAACAACATCCAAAAACATCCAAAAAAAAAGAACAAATCCTTTAATTCGCAAAAAAAAGTTTTTTTATGATTGTTTTTTTAGATGGTTTTTCACTTGTGTGATAAAAGGTTAACGCGAATAATGGTAGATATGCAAAATATTTCTGTATAATGCTTATTTCCAAATGTTTTATCTGATATTCCAATTTTGCACTTAAGTTAAATTAGTAGCTTTGGATGGAAATCTTATGTTCTTTTTGATTTAAGGGAATGTAGGGGGAGGGTGCCATTTTCGTTTGTAATTCTTGTTTTCTCCTGGTTATGGGCAGACAGGAAGAGAGGGAAGTTTTTGTGTATTTTATTATCTTTCTCTAGGTAATTTATAAATATCCTTGGGTTAGTTAGTTTGGTTTTGTTTGTTGTTTTGGCCTAGCTCTCCCCTGAAGTCTTTGTTCCCTATATGTTCGTTAATACTTCCTTTGAGATTTATTGTTTCTGTTTACCTTTTTCTTATCTTTTCAAATTAAAAGAGATTAATTTGAATTGCTGTTTGTGTTGACTCTGGGTCAGGAGGTTGGATTGCCCTGGTTCTTTCTCCAAGGTTCTTTTTTTTCTTTAGATGTTTTTCTTTATCTTTTTTTGTTACTGGCTCCCCAGCCCTAGATGGGAAGTTATGTAACACCAGCTATTGAGCATATAAACATTCTCTATAGTTGCACGACTTCATGGATGCACTCAATGACTGGGCAACTCCAATTATAGAAGACATTGAAACTTCAGATGGTTGTTTTTACGTTGACTTTGAAGTTCTTGCTATTTCTGGTTCTGCAATCATCCAGAACCCTAGATGCCCATTAATTTCCATCTAGTCCAATTTTTGCCCCACTTCTGCCACCATGTTCACCAAAGCTTTAAACCCGACAAGATGGCCTCTTGAATTCCATGCATTGCTCGCATACATCGTAAACAGAGTTTATGATGCCATTAAAGCCCTGATGCCCAGATTTTTGGGCACAGGAACAAACGTCCCTAATGGATACGGACAAGTAAAGTAGTTTAGTTATTCAGCATCTGAGCTGTCCTGCCGAAAAATCGCATGGCACTATATAGGTCATTCCCTGCCGTGCTGAGAACCCGAGAGAGGAGGTGGAAGGCTGTAATGATGGAAAAACATATTTGCGAGTGTGAACTTTCAGCCCCGGCAGGACTTCAATCAAGAATTGACACCCACTCGCGGAGCCGTGTCAATAATACATAGAAACTTCACCCAGGAAATAAATGGGAGTTTGATATTTTGCCATATGACTCCTACATTTTCGATTCAGATTTTATATATGCAAATGTTGTAGCTGACCTTGTTAGGGAAAGAAAAGAAAGTACATCTGGTAACAAGCTTATTTGGGATTGCCATCTTTGAGATCTGGGGATTTAAAGTGAGGAAGAATAGAATATGTACATTTTAATATATTTGCATATTTGGTAGACACTTTTATCCAAAGCAACACTGATATTACATTACACAAGTTTAAAGTTAGCAGTCCGATTTGCGCTTGCCATTTATTGTTTGCATTATGACCTGAAAAACAAAATGTGCCAATTTCTTAGAAATGTAATATCTGTATTCAAAATGGCTTTATATGGTTTTGAAAAACAACAAAAAGTTTACATTTAATGACTTTTTAAAAATAATTTTACTACACCACCTTTTAAAGTGCACACGTTTTTTAATATGTTTCAAGGAAAAATAGTTTTTTTGTAACCCATGACCTGAAGTGACTTTGCCTTTTGATACAGAAATCAATGTATAATATTTTAATAGATTTATTTACCTCTCTATGACATAGTTACCTGTTTTATAGAAAGTATGAAAAATAATGATGCAATTATGTGATATAATCACAATTACAAGAAATAACTTTTTACAAGAAAAGATGCAATTATGAGAAATAATTGCAGCATTATTCTGAAAATAATGAGAAATGAAGTCACAGGTAGAAAATATTCACAGTTACAAGAAATAATGTTGCAATTATGAGAAATAATTTTGCAATCATAAAATATAGTTGCAATTACAACAATAAGGTTATAATTATGAGATATAGTTGCAATTATGAGAAATAAAGTCTCATTTATGAGAAATTAAGTCACAATTACAAGATACTGTATCCAAAATTACAATAAATTAATTTACAGTTATAACAACTGCAGCATTATTTCTCATGATTAAGACTTTGTTTCTCATAATTGCGACTTTATGAGAAATGCCACAGAAATCTCTATGACATAATTTCCTGTTTATATTTTTCCAAACTTTTATGATATTTTGGCTAAATTTAATTGCATACATGTTTATATATATATATATATATATATATATGTATATATATATATTTGTATACAAATATTTGTAATATTTTATTAGAATTTCTATAGCTCAAACAGTAGAGCATGTGTTTTTTTAAATAATAAAATAATAGTAATACAAGGTTATGTCGTTTTACTTTCAAAGTCATTCTATGTAGGAAATGCATTTTTTAAATGTATTTCTGAATACATTAATAGTTTTATGTCACTGACCCATGTTGCACATCCCACTTTGGATGGAACACGGCAAGATGGTAGTCCAGGTTTTTTCAGATTATTTATTTATATAGTATGTGTGTATTCTGCAATACAGAATTAAACTACATACAATTTATTACCAAATTAGCCCAAACCACTGCTAATAACCTTAGCGTCAGTCACCTGCTGGTTCAGTTCGTGTTTTAGATAAATAACGTGGTCTTAAAAAAGCAGTATTGTAATCTCCTTACTCAAATTAAGCTCCCGTCACATCAGCCTGTGTGGGAGACTTTACCGTCATCGTTCCTGGTGTTCCCAATTCCTACATCAAGAGACAGAGTTGTGTTTCTTAGAGCCATAGCAGATGAGCTTAGCATAAGCCACAAGGAAAAGAGATTTAGCACTCAAACGTTAGAAGATGCCTCATTGGTGCTCAGACGAACAGATAGTAGTATTTAACCTGGCTTGTGAAAATCTGTCTGAAAGTGGCATTTCTTAACGTCTTGTCACATTCTGTGTGGCAAAAAAATGCAAACATAATGCTAATAGAATGCTAATATGTGCAGAAGTTTAAAGGTTTGTTTAGTAATGTACCAAAGATTAAAGAAGTAGTGAGTAGACTTTATTAAAACCTTAAAGTGTAACCACACACTCGGGTAAAGCTAAGCTACGTTAAAGCTAAGTTGTTGAATGTTATATTACTTAGTTAGGGCGTTTCACATTAGTAATACTCTGCTGGAAAATCCCAAGTTGGTCCTGAAATTTGGAACATGGCAGCTGGTTTGTTGATGGTCTAAACAGGTAAACCACCTTGGACCATCAACCAACCAGCTGCCAGCTAGACAGGCGTAAGATTGGCCGTTTTTGGAAAGTGGTAGCTGGTCAACCAGCTAATGACCAACTTGGACCAGCTAGAAACTAGCTACAAGCTTCAGGGTTTTCCAGCAAGGTAAAGAATTGCATCTGTCTTATATGCTAAGCTTGTTAGTTCCAGTAATAAGTTCAAACATCTTTATTATTGTCTGTAGAGACTTTGTGTTTTATGTATTTTTATGTATACAGTTTTATGTATTTTATAGAAATATATTTTTGATTCAGATAAGCAAATAAAAAGATTGTAAAATGAAAGATGATATATTAAAATAAGAATAGTCACACATTACAAAAAATTAAAATGCAGTTGTGAGAAATGACAATTATGTATGAGATCTAAAATCACAATTGTTAGATATAAAACCCGTAATTACGAGACATTAAGAGGTTGTTACGAGAATTGAGATTTAAATCATATTTAAATGAGATGTAGTCACAATTGAGAAATAATGTTGCAATTGTCATAAATAATGTTGTAATTATGAGATGGTTGTAATTATGAGAAATAATTTCAGAATTATGAGAAACCGTGTTGCAATTATGAGAAATAATGAAGTTATGAGATATAGTCGCTATTATGAGAAATGATGAGCAATGAGATAGTTGCAATTATGAGCATTATAAAATACTTAGTCGCAATTACAAGAAATATAACAGTTATAATAAAAACGCAATTACAATGAAAAAAAAACGAAATAAATAAAAAAACGAAATAAATACATTAATAATGAGAACAAAGCCACAGCTACAAGATACTGTAGTTGCAATTACATTAATTAAGAAATTAATTCACAGTTTCAATAAATTAAATAAAGTGGCAATTACAAGAAATGTAGTCACCGTTACAAAATAGTTGCAGTTACAAGAAATTATGTCACAATTATGAGATAGTTGCAATTAAGAGAAATAGTCTTATTTATGTGAAATGAAGCCACACTTACAAGATACTATAGTCGCAAAGATGTCATTATTACAAATAAAGTCAGCCACAAGATGAAGTTGCAATTACAGCAAATATAGTCACAGTTACAAAATAGTTGCAAATTACGAGAAAATAAATAAATAAAATTCCCAATTATGAGAAAAAAAACACCCAATTAAATGAATAAAAGTCTCAATTACAAGAAATTAGATATAAAATTACAGTTTTGTATTGCATTTGTGAGACAAAGTCTTATAATATTAAACCTATGTCTTGTTAATAATGTTGCAGTTCATGGTAATATTAATAGATTTCATATTTGTTTTTCTATTACTCTTGCATGATAAACAATTTTGACCTTGCATTGCGTCAACCCTTGATGTCCAGAATCTGCTTCCTGAAGCAAAACCAGTAGCGAACCACTGCCCTGTAATAAATTACTTGTTTCAAGTGTACTTGTTTAATTTATTAAATTAATTTTACTGTCTTTTAAATTCAGTCTTCTGCTCCTGTCAGACCTACTGCATTATGAGTGCTTGGAGATACAAATGAGAACAAGCACATACCCGCACACCGAGGCACTCAATTATACGGCCTGCCTCTAGCAGCAGGACTTCATTAGCCTGTTTGTTGATGAGCATCCTCATTGTTTTGCATGCACAATCATTTTCCACAGACCAGTATTAGAGACGGATATTATCACTCGAATGTGACTTCAACAGACCCCTATTTTCACTGTTTAAATGAGGACTAATGTGAACAATATAGAGAGAAGACCACATCGAGTGTGTGTGTGCATGTATTTTATATAAAAATGTATATGTATTTTGCATTTTGTTGATATTTATTCTGAGAATCATGTAATTAATATCTCAATTTAGTAATTAATTTTCTGTGTTTAGTGAAAGTTCAGAAAAGTGACCACCCGCACTGCTGGGACCCCTGTGTGAACTACTGCCATTCTCAACATCCTGGTCACTGTAAGACGTCGACATGGACCTCTGCTTCCAGTAACCCATCCAGCTCTCAGGATTACTGCAAATGTAACTACATTACATCATTTTTACACTATTACCATGCTTTATGAAGATGATTTGACTAGTTTTTTTATATATATATAGTTTTCATGACTGGGCATTTCACATCAGGGAGAAAATGTTCCTCATGTAGATTTTGTTCGTTTTTTAAGTTATATCTAGTCATTAAAATAAGGCTACGTCCACACGAATCCAGAGCTTTCCCTATCCAATCTTTTTTTTCCCCTCGTCTCAAGAAATATCTGCGTCCACACGAAACCACGAAACTGACACAAAACGATGTAGTATACATGCCAGACCAGTATGTGGCACTGTAATTACACTAAAAACACTAAACACTAACAGAGATACACTAAAAACGGAGAAGAAGACTTCAGAATATGCGCATAAACCTTGCGCGTGGTATACAAACGAACATGGAACAATACATTTATTAATATGTGTTAATGTTGGTTAATAAAAAGACAATCGTTCAGTGTTTGTTCATGTTTTTGTTTCTGTTACGTGACGCAGCGGTGTCTGACTAGGGGCGGGACGTGGGCTGATGACGTCATAGTTTCAGAAACTATACGGATTCGCTGTCCACACGAAAACGCAAGGGCGATGTTTTCAGATTTATCCAATCTGGGACCCGGTTTAAAATAATATCGGTTTCACTCTCCCAAAACACCGGATCCGTGTGGACGAAACACCTATACGATACAAAATTTATGCGTATACAGCTAAACGCGTCTCCATATCTGCGTCCACACGAAACCACGAAACTGACACAAAACGATGTAGTATACATGCCAGACCAGTATGTGGCGCTGTAATTACACTAAAAACACTAAACACTAACAGAGATACACTAAAAACGGAGAAGAAGACTTCAGAATATGCGCATAAACCTTGCGCGTGGTATACAAACGAACATGGAACAATACATTTATTAATATGTGTTAATGTTGGTTAATAAAAAGACAATCGTTCAGTGTTTGTTCATGTTTTTGTTTCTGTTACGTGACGCAGCGGTGTCTGACTAGGGGCGGGACGTGGGCTGATGACGTCATAGTTTCAGAAACTATACGGATTCGCTGTCCACACGAAAACGCAAGGGCGACGTTTTCAGATTTATCCAATCTGGGACCCGGTTTAAAATAATATCGGTTTCACTCTCCCAAAACACCGGATCCGTGTGGACGAAACACCTATACGATACAAAATTTATGCGTATACAGCTAATCGCGTCTCCGTGGGGACGGGGCCTAAGACTACGCATATTTGGGAGTTTTGCATGAGGACAAAAAGAGTTTTCCAAATTTCGCTTGTGTTCAAGTTGGTCATGCAAATTCGCACAAATATTGCAAACAATATTTAGTATTTTAAATATGACTCTACACAATTGGGAGTTTCGCATAAGTGAGAAAATTTTCCTCACATATTTTTTTCACATTGATAATGCAAATTTGCATACATTTCGCAGATGATATCATTTAAATGTCATTTAAATAGGAGTCTGCATGATTAGGAGTTTGGCATGAGGGCGAAAAAGTTTCCCTTGCAGATTTTGCCTGTGTTCAAGTTGGTCACACAAAATTTCATGGATGATACCCAGTCATTAAATAGCAGTCTGCACATTTTTTCATGTGAGGGCAAAATATTTTTTGCTTTGTAAATTGCACTTGTGTTTCCAGTTGGTCACACAAAATTTCACAGATGATATTAAGTCGTTCAAATAGGAGTTCGATTGAGAGTTTGACATGAGGGCAAAGAAGTTTCCCTTACAGATTTTTCTTGTGTTCAAGTTGGTATAGCGAATTCACACACAATTTTGTGAACGATTATATAGTCATTTAAATGGGAGTCTGCACAGTTGGGAGTTTCTCATTAAGGCAAAAAAAAGTTTCCTTCACAGATTTTGCTTGTGTAAAGTTTGTCACATAAATTTGCGTGAAATTTCATGGACAATATCCAGCCATTGCAAGTTTTGCATGAGGGCAAAAATCTCCTTGCAGATTTCGTTCATGTTCAAGTTGGTCACATAAATTTGCAATAAAATTAGAAAAAAATCTTAATTACAAAAAATGTTGCAATTATGAGAAATAAAATCCTCATCTAAAGACGCAGTTAGTCCACACAATTGAGAGTTCTGCATGAAAGTGGAAAAGTTCACCTCACAGATTTCTCTCGTGTTCAAGATGTTCACGCGAATTTACTGCACTGGCCAATAGAAAGATGCTTGGTTTGAATGTGGCTTCTTTATAACCTGTGCGTCATACATCACTACAGTATAATAAATATCACTAATATGATCCCACTTTTATTCTACGCTTTTTTAGCATTTTTTTAGCCTGGGTTTCCTGCACCAAAATGCCATTTTTACTGACCAAGTCCCATTTTCTTCAGATAATCTACCTCTCTAGTTGAAGTCATCCATCTTCATTTACATGTAAAATAGCATTACGTTAATATGGAATATTGTTCTTAACCCAGACATCCACCTACCAGCGGTTGCCTCCAAATCCAATATAACGTCCCCTTAAATAACAAATGCTTAGTGGATAGATCTGCAAAGACTAGCAAGGGACCAATAGAATATGGATCATTAACCTGCAGTGAGCCGCTCAGTCTCTTGGACCATTGCCATCTCTTTGATTTTAAGTTTTTAAATGCAGCTACACCACCTGACTTTCTCTCTCCTTTCCTCTGTTCTCTCTAGCGGTAGTCTGCACTAACTTCTCTCCTGGGTCCACAACCACATCAGGCATGACCAGCCAGGGTTCCAGCACGCTGCCCCGGGCCGCTCCTCCCATGAGCCCACGGAACTCCATGCTAAAGAGACGACAAAGGAAAAAAGAGCACAAAAGCTCCTGTAGGTGACTGGATGGGTTTTCTGTTTGACATGGTCTAAAAGCAAATTATTACATTTCATGACATCTCATAAGTGACTGATTTGTAAACCTCTACATGCTGTAAGCAGCTTTTAAATAGCTTCTCATGAAGTGACTCTACCTAACTAATTTCGGTAGAGTTAGATGTTAGCTTGTTACTAAGCTAAAGACACAATGCTCTAATGGCGCATTAAATGAAGTTCCAAACCTAGGTTTGGGAGGAGCCTAATCAGTCCTGTCAATCATCATTACAAGAGTTTATAAGCAGCAATCATTGCTCCATCCCAGTGACAATTCTTCCAGCATTCTTCCACCTCCCTATCTCTCCTCTATCTCTGTTATTCTCCCTCTGTGTAGTACCACAATGGGGGGTTGAACTCAGTGCTCAAGCCGAGTCTTGAGCAATCCCCGAGCAAACATGTTAGGTAGGGTGACCATACGTGCCATTTTCCCATGACGCGTCCTGGCCAGGATTTCTATATTGCCTAAAATATCTAGGTTTTGGCTTTGTTTGCATGTGCAGACCGATCGGTGTATGACATCAAAATACCATACAGACGGTTCCTTATGTTTTCAAAATGCTCTCGAGGTATTTTGATGTCATACACCGATCGGTCTGCACACGCAAACAAAGCCAAAACCTAGATATTTTAGGCAATATAGAAATCCTGGCCAGGACGCGTCCTGGGAAAATGGCACGTATGGTCACCCTATGTTAGGTGTTAGCATGTTTGCTAAGCTAAGAACACAGTGTAGACACTTTTATACAATACATAGCACAAACAAATATTGGGTAAATCATTTATTTTTAATTAGGCTGAACTGTTTTTACCTATTGCTTGACATATTTTAGTTACCTTTGTAGTTAGATGTTAGCGTGTTGCTAAGCTAACAACTCCACACTCTAAGCATTGTTAAAACAGATGTATTGGGTAAATAGTCTTTTTATTGGATTGAGCTATTTGTATTTATTTACAGGGTTAGATGACAGAGACAGCAACACATAGCACATACACATCTATTTTTATCTATCAGTTAAACTTTTAGTAGAGTTGGATGTTAGCATGTTACTAAGCTAACAACACAATACCCTTAGCCCTATCACAAAAACACAGTGAGCACAAATACTGAGTAAATAGTCTACTTTTTATTAAATTGATTTTATTAGTTTTTATCTATCATAACGTTTCACGTTCACATTTTTATATAGGTTTTGAAAAAAAAGTTTCACTTTTAGGGGCCATTCACACAGAATTTGTTTGACCATTGCCCTCCCATCTTGTGTCTTTTGCAGCATCTCACACATGATGTGGAGTTCAAAACAAACAAACAAAAAACACATTCTTTGTGAACAGCCCCTTAATTTTGTATACATTTATGATATTTCTGTGGTGATTTTTCTCTCCGTTTAGCTGTGTCTTTAGCCTCAAGTTCTGTGGGCCCTGGTGGTCAGATCGTCCACACCGAGTCCAGTGAGGTCACTCTGAGAGGAGACCCTCTAAATGGGTTTGGGGTTCAGCTGCAAGGTGGAATATTTGCGACAGAGACCCTCTCTGCACCCCCTCTTATCCGCTTCATAGAACCGGACAGCTCGGCCGAAAGGTACGTCCCAAATGTTAACTCAACCATGTACACAAAACACAGCCATCCATGCTCACTCAAGCACATATAAACACTATAAGGTGCCACAATGGACAGAGATTCCATTGAAAATGCATGCAGATCTTGTAACGATATCAGAATTTTTTAAATTTATGCCTTATGACAGAGTCAGCGTACACTGACTTGGAGAGAGACACTTGAAAATGATCAAGCTGGATGTGATACTACCTCTGAATTTGGGTCAACACTCAGCAGGAAACTCAAACTGCAAAAAATCACTCCTTTTATCAGTGATGTTTAAGAAAGAGACTTTAATTTTTAATTTAAGAGGTTGAAATGTGTCTTTGTCACACTTTGTGCTCTTAAAGAGAGGGGAATGTTTAGGAAGGGTCTCCAAAACTAAACTCAGTCTGCTGGAAAGACAAATGAAAAAAAAAGAATCTCTTTAACATCTCAAATGCTTTTTCCTAGACAGCAATGAGATTAAATGGAGAGCAGATGGATCCTAATTTGGGTCTCATGCATCTCAGATTTTTTTTTTCCTGAGAAAAAGCCACCAGTAATCTCACGTCACATCTAGAGTTTCACAAGAGCTCTCAATAATGTCTCAAAGTGCACTTGCCAAGATACCAAAGATTTCAATCAAAAGTCAAAAATCTCAATACGAACGCCAACATTTCTGGTCAAATTCTTCAGAGACCAAATTATCTGCCCTATGCTATCCACATTCATTTTATAGCTCTAAACCTTTACTGTATGTCAACAGTCTCTTTTGAGTTTCTTTTTATTTGACCAAATGACTTTAAGGAGAAACATCTAGTTGATACTAATTTTTTATAACATTTTGCTTACTATAGCGTTAAACTTTTTTGTCAAAAATGGTCTCGTTTTTGTCTCTCTTTTTTGGGAGAATTGTAGAAGAAACACCTGAAACTAAGTTGTCACGTCAGTTGCTTTGCTAACTTTTGCTAACATTTGGTTGTACAGCTCTAACGGTCTCATTTGGGTCTCGTTTTCTGTCCAAAATGAAAGTTGATACAAAAGTGCTACATCAGCTGTTTGGCGAACTTTGTTAAAAAAATTTTTTTAACTATAGCTCTAAACTCTTACTGTATGTCCACAATTTTCTCATGGGTCTTTTTGTATTTGTCCGAAGAAATTGTAGGAAAATAAATTACTACAAAGGTGCCATTTCAGCTGTTTTGCTAACATTTGGCTAGCATTTTGCTAACTATAGCTCTTCTTACTGTATGTCAACAGCTGTCTCATGGGTCTCTTTTTATTTCAGATTCTTTTTATTTTTATCTTAAACATCTGAGACTAAGTTGATACAATCACACACTCTTTCCAAAGACATGCCAGCAAACCCAACAAAAACAAAAGCCTTAATGGAGCCAAACTCAACATTTTACTGTATTTGCTGCCACTGGATGAGACCCTAAATTGACTTTCCGTAATTATGTTCAGATTTGTAATTGTCCGTTTCTGTTTGTTTTTGTAGCTCAGTGCGTGAGTCATTCCTGGTGTGAGATTGTTGTTGCATGAAGCGAGTGATCTGATATGTGTTGTACTGTGGCGGTGTGTGACATTTGTGGTGTTTGGGCTGGAAGTCATTGCATGTCAGGTCAGTTTTTCTCTTTCAAACACACATGGTTTCCCACAGTGACACTGGGCTTGCATATTGAAACATGAGAAAACAATACACTTACTGTAAATCATGCATTTGTGTTGTTGTGTTTGATAAAAATCAACTTCTAAAATTGACATCAGTTTTCAGTCAGACTTTTGACTATTGGCATGAAGTCTGGTCCACTTTGCACATTATTTTGGCCAGGAACCGGCCACTTAAAAGGATTGTTCATCTGAAAATGAAAATTATGTCGTCATTTATGAATGTTGGTAACCAAACTGTTGATGATAGCTATTGGCTAAGAAATACTATGGAAGTCAATGGCTACTGTCAACTGTTTGGTTACCAACATTCTTCAAAATATCTTCTGAAAAAATAAATTCATACAGGTGTGAAACAGCTTGAGGGTGAGTAAATGATGACAATTTTCATTTTTGCCGGAACTATCCATTTAAGGGGTGTTTGGACTGACAGTGATTTAGTCGCTGGAGGAAGGGAACATGAAATGAGCTTTTTAGTCCTTCTGTCTTGTTTTGATTGGCAGGTGTGGGCTTCTCCAGGTTGGAGACAGAGTCTTATCCATCAACGGAATTCCTACAGAAGATGGAACGCTGGAAGAGGCCAATCAGCTGCTCCGGGATGCTGCTCTGGCCAATAAGGTCACGCTAGAGATTGAGTTTGATGTGGCAGGTTAGTGAGGTTTCACGTTCACCACCATGATCTTAAAACAGGAATTGCTGTTCCTAAGACATGAATTTGTCACTTTATTTTCTGTTTTTATTAGTATTTAATTAAAAATCAGTTGCAATCGTGTTTGTACTTGATCATAATGTTGTTTTTGTTGTATGGCCAGAATCTGTTGTGCCTAGCAGTGGAACATTCCATGTGAAGCTGCAGAAGAAACGAGGAGTGGAACTTGGCATCACAATCAGTGGTAAGACCTCGTTATTAATTTGCAGTGGCTTAGTTTTGACGTCAAGGGTCTGGGGATCCTCTTTATTTAGTTTGGTCAACATTGCAACATATTTTGGTAAGAACTGCCCACTTAGATGAGAAAAGAAAAAAAACTTATCTACTCAGGCATCACAACTTTTGGTTATCTTTCTCACAATAACCTGCAAATGACTTTGACTTTGCAAATGACTTTTTTTGTTTTGTTTTTTGCTAATAAATTGAATGTTAACATCTGCACTTGCCACCATCACACATGTAATGTTTCCTGGCGATTTTGGATAATAATCTGATTCATTAATCATAACTATAACCAAGCAATAGTTTGTGGTAATAGGTTAAAGGTATGCAAGATAATCTTGTATTATTGTAATATTTACTTAAAAATAATCAAAAATAAAACTGTTCAAAGTTAAACCAAGTCACTTTGATGCTACTTTGTTTTAATAATAATAATAATAATAATAATAATAATAATAATAATAATAATAATAATAATAATAATAATAATAATAATAATAATAATAATAATAATAATAATAATAATAATAATAATAATAATAATAATAATAATAATAATAATAATAATAATAATAATAATAATA